AGGAGGAATCAGAAAACCTGAATAGGCCAATAACAATTGATGAAATAGAAACAGTATACAAAAAATCCCAGCAAACAAAAGCCATGGTCCGGACGACTTCACAGGGGAGTTTTACCAAACATTCAAAGAAAAACTGACACCTATCCTCCTCAAACTATTCCAAAAAATCCAAGAGGAAGGAACACTTTCAAGATCTTTTTATGAAGCCAGCATTATCCTAATTCCAAAACCAGATAAAGACACTACAGGCCAATATCCCTGATGAACATAGATGCTAAAATCCTCAACAACATATTAATAAATTGATCCAGCAATATATTAAAAATATCATTCACCATGACCAAGTGGGATTTATTTTGGGGATGCAAGGCTGGTACAATATTCATAAATTAATAAATGTGATACATCACATAAATACATTGACAAAAATCACATGATCATATCAATAGATGCAGAAAAAGCATTCAACAAAATGCAATAACCCATTTTTGATAAAAACTCTCAGCAAAGTGGGAAGGGATCATATCTCAACTTAATAAAGGCCATATATGACCAAGTTACAGGCAACATCATACTCAATGGGCACAAACTAAAACCATTTTCCCTAAGAACAGGAACAAGAAAGAGATGTCTGCTTTCACCACTCCTATGCAACATAGCACTGAAAGTCCTAGCCACAGAGTTCAGACAAGAAGAATAAATAAAAGGCATCCAAAGTAGAAAGGAGGAAGTAAAACTCTCATTATTCACAGATAACATGATATTGTACATGGAAAACCCTAAAGACTCCACCAAAAAACTACTAGAGTTAATAAAGGAATTTGGCAATGTAGCAGGATACAAAATTAACACCCAGAAATCAATGGCATTTTTATACACCAATAATGAATACTCAGAAAGAGAAACTAAACAAATAATCCCATTTACCATTGTAACAAAAAAATTAAGATACTTAGGAATAAACTTAACCAAGGAGGTAAAGGATTTGTACTTGGAAAACTACAGGACATTGAAAAAAGGGATAGAGGAAGATATAAACAAGTGGAAGAATATACCATGTTCATGGATTGGTAGAATTAACATTAAAATATCCATACTACCCAAAGCAATCTACAGATGCAATGCAATCCCTATTAAAATACCCAACAGTATATTTCACAGATCTAGGACAAATACTCCAAAAATTTATATGGAACCAAAAAAGACCTAGAATAGCTGCAGCAATCTTGAGAAAAAAGAATAAAGTTGGAGGGATCACAATACCAGATAAGAAGTTATACTACAAAGCCACTGTAATCAAAACAGCCTGGTACTGGCACAAGAATAGGCATATAGATCAATGGAATAGAACAGAGACCCCAGAAATAGACCCAAGTCATTACACTCAATTAATATTTGACAAAGGAGCCAAGAATACACAGTGGAAACAAGACAGACTCTTCAATAAATAGTGTTGGGACAATTGGACAGATACATGCAAAAAGAAATGAAACTAGACCACCAACTTACACCATACACAAGAATAAACTCAAATGAATAAAAGATGTAAATGTAAGTCATGAAACCATAAAAATCCTAGAAGAAACCACAGGCAGCAAAATCTCAGACATCTCTTGTAGCAATATGTTTGCGGATACATCTCCTAGGGCAGTGGTCGGCAAACTGCGGCCCCTTGAGTGTGGCTCTTCCACAAAATACCACGTGCAGGCGCACATGTACAGTGCGATTGGAACTTCGTGGCCACACTCAAGGGGCCAAAGAGCCGCATGTGGCTCGGGAGCAGCAGTTTGCAGACCTCTGTCCTAGGGCAAAGGAAACTAAGGGAAAAATAAACAAATGGGACTACATCAAAACGAAAAGCTTCTGCACAGCAAAAGAAACCATCAACAAAATGAAAAGGGAGCCCACTGTATGGGAGAACATATTTGTCAATGATACATCTAATAAAGTTAATATCCAAAATATGTAAGGAACTCATACAACTTAACAACAGGAAGACAAACGATCCAATTTAAAAAAATATCATGCCCTAGCCCGTTTGGCTTAGTAGATAGAGTGTGAGCCTGAGGACTGAAGAGTCCTGAGTTCACTTTTGGTCAAGGGCACATGCCTGGGTTGTGAGCTCAGTCCTCAGTAGGGAGCATGCAGGAGGCAGCCGATCAATGATTCCCTCTCATCATTGATGTTTCTATCTCTCTCTCCCTCTCCCTTCCTCTCTGAAATCAATCCTATATAATAAAAGGCTAATATGCAAATTGACTGAAAGGTGGAACGACCAGTCACTATGACACATACTGACCACCAGGGGGCAGATGATCAAAGCAGGAGCTGACCCCTGGTGGTCAGTGCACTCCCACAGGGGGAGCTCCGCTCAGCCAGGGCTCACAGCTGGTGAGTGCAGCGGCAGTGGCGGGAGCCTCTCCCACCTCCGCAGGCAGTGCTAAGGATGTCCGACTGATGGTTTAGGCCTGCTCCCTGCGGGCCTAAGCGTCAGTCAGACATCCCCCAAGGGCTCCTGGACTGTGAGAGGGCACAGGCCAGGCTGAGGGACACACCTCCCCCCAAGTGCACAAATTTCGTGCACCTGGCCTCTAGTAAAAATATTTTTTTAAAAGTAGTCAAAGGACCTAAATAGACACTTCTCCAAAGCAGACACATAGATGGCCAAGAGACATATGAAAAAATGCTCAAAGTCAATAAAAAAAATATTTTTTTAAAGCAACAATGAGATATCACCTCACACCTGTCAGAATGGCTACCATCAACAAATGACAAATGCTGGCGAGGATGTGGAGAATAGGAACCCTAGTACACTGTTGGTGGGAATGCAGACTGGTGCAGCCATTATGGAAAACAGTATGAAGTTTTCTCAAATAATTAAATATGGCCTGGAAGCGTGGCTCAGTGGTTGAGTGTTGACCTATGAACCAAGAGGTTATGGTTCGATTCCTGGTCAGGGCACATGCCCAGGTTGTGGGCTCGATTCCCAGTGTGGGGCATGCAGGAAGCAGCCGATCAATTATTCTCTCTCATCACTGATGTTTCTATCTCCCTCTCCCTTCCTCTCTGAAATCAATAAAAAATATATTTTTTAAAAAAATTAAATACGGGCCCTAGCCAGTTTGGCTCAGTGAATAGAGCATCAGCCTGTGGACCAAAGGGTCCTGGGTTCTATTCCAGTCAAGGGCACATGCCTGGTTGTGGGTTTGATCCCAGTAAGAGCACGCAGGAGGCAGCCGATCAATGATTCTTTCTCATCATTGATGTTTCTATCTCTCTCTCCCTCTCCCTTCCTCTCTGAAATCAATAAAAATATATTTTAAAAAAATTAAATATGGAACTGCCATTTGGCCCAGTGATCCCACTTCTAGGAATATATCCTAAGAAACCCAAAACACCAATCAGAAAGAATATATGCACCCCTCTGTTTATAGCACTAATTTACAATAGGTACAGCCCAAGTGCCCATCAGTAAATGATTGGATAAAAAAGCTGTGGTACATTTACACCATGGAATATTCTGCAGGTATAAAAAATAAGGCTCTCTTACCCTTTGAGAGAGCATGGAGGGACCTGGAGACTATTATGCTAAGTAAAATAAGCCAGTCAGAGAAAGATAAGTATCACATGAGCTCATTCATATCTGATGAATAAAATAAACTGATGAACAAAATAGATCCAGAGATTTAGAAGCATGGAATAGACTGCGGAATCTCAGAGGGAAGGCGGGGAGGGTGGGTGGGAAGAGATAAACCAAAGATCATGTATGCATAACCCCTAGGCACAGACAATAGGGTGGTGAAGACCTGGGTTGGGCTAGAAGAGGTCAATGGGGGGAATAAAGGGGACATATGTAATACTTTCAACAATAAAATTTTAATTTAAAAAAAGGCAAAATACTCTAGTAATAATGAGCCCAAGTCTTGGAGCATCAGCCTGGGTTCCATACTGATTGGGGAGGCTGAGCTCTGGGTCCTATAGGACACCTACTTGGCCATTTCTAGCTGTGTGACCTGGGGACAAGAGACTTAACCTCTTTCACCTTCAATCTCTCCCTCTGTAAAATGGGGGTAATCAGAACATCTGCCTCACAGAGTTGATTTGAGAGTGAGATGAATGAATATATGTATGTCAGGCAAGGAGACTTAATGAAGGGACTAAATTAATGGAGTGCAGGCAAGGCTGGAAGAACCCACAGGGAATGTTGAAGCACCTAGGAACCCACAAAAGTGGGAAGCCGTTATGGCCCCTGTGCTATAGGTAAGGAAGGAGAGCCACCCTGGAGGAGATGTGGCCAACATAGGACAGTTAGGGTAGAGCAGGGAGGGGGCTAAGGGACAAAACACCTGAGTTCTCTTTCCTCTCACCTCTGATCTTCTGCCCATGACTCCATGGGTGATACAGAACATAAAAGTCAGCCTCCAGAGGGGCAGAGAAGAACAAAGAACAGATCTGGAGGGCAATGGAAAATAGCCTGTGAAGGCTGTAAGGTGGCATCTGGCCTACAGCAGCTCAGAAAGCATTTTCCAGTCTTTTCATCTTTCTGTGCCCAGAGTGTCCTTGTTCTTTCTACAGCTACATGGCCATCCTCCGTGTGCCATCATTCATCTAGCCAGTCCCCTACTTACAGACATCTGGGTTGTTGCTAGTCTTGTTCTATAGACAATGCTGCAGTGAATGACCTTAAGGAAACATCAACTTCTGCATGTGATGTGGCCCTTTGTTGTGAGACTGCCGTTATGACAAAGGCTTTTTGTACACCTTCATCTCACTCCATCCTCACAGCATCACTGTTAGGTGAACTCACATTGTTACAAGAGAGGAAAAAATGCTCTGGGAAGGAATGTTCCTTGCAGCCAGTCCAGGAGGAAGTGGGGTATTTTGTGACTCCAGAGTTCTTGCTCTTAGGCACCCCATGTCCCAAGAACAGAAATGCCCAGTCCCTGAGGCCTGACCCTTGCTCACCAGGTACCATAGCTGAATGGAGCAACTCTCTTCAGTTACAGACGCTGTCTAGAGCTGATGCTGACTCATGTGTCCCACCGTGGCCCCATGTGCCACCTCATGGTGGCTTCCCACAATGAGGAATCTGTTCACCAAGCAACCAAACGGTATGAGGTGGGCCCCTCCCTTCCTCTCCCTCACTCAAATGCTAGGGATAGGTAGAGGATGGTGGACATGGAACAAGAGGAGGAGCAGTGTGGGGACAGCAGGTTCAGAGGAATTCTGGGGAGGGTATTAGAAACATTTAACCCCTGCTATGCCTGTAGGTCTTGTAGGCCCCAGCTGAACAAGGCCTCATCTCTTATTTGCTGGGGCATGGGGAGGTCTGAGGGCATCAGGGAACTCACTAAGGAACTTTCAGGGACTTCAGAGCACTAGTTATTTATCATTAAGTTTAGAAGTATTTTAATATTTAAATAACTGGAATAGCCCTGTGGGTACCTAATGGCTGACTTTCAGCTCAGACTCAGCCACTGTCTGGATTGGTGATCTGGCCTTTTCTGTAGCATGTGGGAGCTGGGCATTCCTCCGGACGGGCCTGTCTGTTTTGGACAACTTCTGGGGATGTGTGACCACGTCTCTCTGGCATTGGGTATGTGAATGGCTCATTCCTCACCACCACCACGCCTCACCCAGCCCCAGGCCTCACTCCTTCTCAGCCAGTCCCCTCTCACATTCCCAACCATTGCCTGGCCATCCTCCTCTCTAGAGTCTTCAGATGGCCCAGTCTCCAGACCCTCCCAGAGAGATCTGTTACTCCAATGTCTAAGGCCTTGCAGGCCTTTGTCTCTGTGCCTGCTGTCTGGTGTTTAGCTGGTTCTTGATCATGCTGTCTTTGCTCCCCAGGGACTGAGACCAGAAGAATTATGTTTTCCTCTGCCATTGTACCCTAAATTCATAGCTTCAGGTTTCTTGAGATATCCCAGATATGCAAATTTAGGCTGCATATGTAAGGGGATTTACTCCTGGCCACAACCTCTCAGAGGTGGATTTCTCTGCTTTCTTCCCTGCTCTACTTATGGTCAAGGCCATTCCCTTGGAGTGGAGGGAACTCTTACTCTGAGGGTGTACATTTTTTGTGTTCCAGCTGAATGTGGGGGAGTTCTCTACACCCTGGTCAGACTTTGGCCTCATTTTCTGTATCCCTTGGGCTCTGTGAAGTCATCAAACAGCAGCTCAATGTTGCCTTCAGGACAGAAGTGCTTCCTGTGCATCCTTTCCCTCTCTGGTTCTCACTTTCTCTTAATTCTTGGATTAGCAAATTCCTTATTCTCTTGGCAGCATTTTAAACTTTAAGATTTTTTTAATGTTAACTCCAGAATTGTTAGTTTTCCAGTAGGAAATGTTGTCTAACTCATTTAGTCTGTCATGTTCTCAGAACTGGAAATCTCTGTTCTAGATGGGGCCTAGGGGAGCCTCTCTCCAAACATGAGCCCACATCCTGCTTACACTCTCCCTGCAGGGCAGGCTGGCTATGCCGTGTATAAGTCCATCCCCTACGGCTCCCTGGAGGAGGTGATCCCCTACCTGATCCGGAGGGCCCAGGAGAACCAGAGTGTGCTGCGGGGTGCCCGCAGGGAATGGGAGCTGCTCAGTCAAGAACTTCGGCGGAGGCTGCTGGGGCGGGGCCTGAGGGTACCTTCTTAGTTCCCCCAGGGGTTATGTGGTCAATAAAGGTCCTGAGCTACTGCCCAGGCTGCTGCCCTGCACTGAAGCTGCCTCCTTGGGGAGGGGATAATCTTGACCCCAGTCAGCCAAAGAGGGTGCTCTGCAGCTCATTAGATAACCCTACAGCAGTGGTTCTCAACCTTCCTAATGCCGCGACCCTTTAATACAGTTCCTCATGTTGTGGTGACCCCCAACCATAAAATTATTTTTGTTGCTACTTCATAACTGTAATTTTGCTACTGTTGTGAATTATAATGTAAATATCTCATATGCAGGATGTATTTTCATTGTTACAAATTGAACATAATTAAAGCATAGTGATTAATCACAAAAACAATATGTAGTTATATATTTGTTTTCCGATGGTCTTAGGTGAAAGGGTCGTTCGGCCCCCAAAGGGGTCGCAACCCACAGGTTGAGAACCGCTGCCCTAGAGCATAGCAAGGGCATTGATCAAAGACTAACGAAACCTTCCCCCACCCTGAAGCAGTCTATCCTAAGATGGGCCTGGGGTCAGCTCTCTTCAGCCAGTCAGTGACTGAAGCAGGAACTTTCTTCACTCCAGTGGATGCCCAGATAAGGAGGAGATACTGAGGCACCGAAGTCGAGAGTCTGGGCTACAGCCACACCTGCAGGGAGAGACAGAGGGGAAAGGCAAAATACTCTCATTTAGTAACATTTTCTGAGGCCCCTTCTGAGCTAGACTCTGAGGTGAACAATGCTAGGGACACAACAGTGCCAAAGACAACCCCAGGCCCAGCCTCACAGGGTTCTTAGTCCAGTAGAGGTAGACAGACCCATCTTCAGACAGTGATAGTCCAGAATGGTCAGGCTGTGATGGGGAAAGCCCATGCATCAGGCCAGAGGAGACACCTCTGTGATCAAGAGAGCTTCCCAAAGTATTCATAAGAATAACCAAGTGAACATGGAGAAGAGCATTCAAAGGCAAGGGCATGTGCATAAACAGAATTGGGAAACAGACTGGGGCGTGTGGAGACAAGGATGGAGGATGGGCAGGGCCAGATGATGCAATTTTAGATGCCAGGCTACAGAGCATTGACCTGGTCCCAAGGTCACTGGGGAGTCAGGAGCATTTCAAGCAGGGGAGAGACAGTCAGGTTTGGCTTTAAGAAGATCCCCCTGGCTGCCATGTGGTGGGTGAACCAGAGTGGGGAGACAGGCTGGGAGCCCAGGGGAATCTGGAGTAGGAAACCCCCCAGGGCTAGGCTGTGGGGGAGGGGAGAGAGGGCAATCAGGAGATTGAGTGGGATGTGGGATTAATAGGCTGGAAGGGAAGGAGCCTAGGCCTCTGGCTTGAAGTGGGGACAGTGGGGCAAATCCTGAGATAGGGATCAGGAAGGAAATGCAGTTTTGGGGAGATACTGAGGCCACTGTAGGACCTAGTGGGTATGAAGGTCCCAAGAGGAGATGTCTAGGATATTGCGGGGCCCCAGGTCTGGGGAAAAGAGGAGAAGCTGAGGCAGAACAGAGAGATGAAACAGCCCCTGGTGGTGGGTGGGAAGTATGCGACCAAGACCACCAAGCACAGGGATAGGAAGGCCAGCTGGCGGGGTAGGAAGGCTACTTTGGGTGCAGCTGACAGCTCCAGGCAGACATCAGTGTCTGTTTTCTCTGGTCACCTCAGAGCCCTAGGGGGAGGGTGCCTCTCGCTGGAGGCAGCCTATTGTGCAAACGCAAATGTGGCAGGAAGCCATTGATGTACCTGTGCTTAGGATTCCCACCCAAATTGCCAGAGCTAGTGCTCCAGGATCACCTGGCAGACACATAGTGATCACTGTTGAAGCCCAAAGGTAGGTGCTAAGCCCCATTACCTTGGTCTGGGCCCCAGAAACTTCTTAGAGCTTACTGGGTCCTCAGCTTTCCACCAGACCCTGCTCCTGCCCTGCTGACCCCACCCTCAGGCTGTCCTCCTCTTCCCCACTCCTTTATCATAGCCTGGCTCCATTTCGCAGACCCTTGCCAAGCATGTCAAACTCGCCACCAGTAGGCCGAATGCGGCCCACCAGCCACGAGTTTGACATGCTAGTGACCCCTTTCTGCCATTGGTCCTTCCCCTAACCTGTAGACCCCACCCCAGCACACTGATACTTCCCTAAACCTTAGCCTGCTCCCTAACCCTCAGACCCTCTCATAGCCCACAGAACTTGAGCCCTCTCTTCTCCCTCAAGCCCCAGCCACTACACGCAGGCCAGGGCCCTTTCCCCAGCTCACAGAACCTACCTTCCAACCGTCCTCTTCCCTTGGACCTACTCTCACAGCCCATAGACCCCACCGCCTCTTAGGCCCCTCTTCCTCCAGCCCATAGGTAATCTTCAGACCCTCTTGCCAAGCCCCCAGACTCCTTTTCCAGGTCCAGATCCTATCCCTGTAGGTCTGTACCCTCTCTCAGATTTCCTTACATCCCCTTCAGCTCTCAGACTCCCTTAGATCCCTGATCTTTATGATCTTACAGGTATGTAGCTCTCCCAGAACCTAACCCTTTTCTCATTCAGACGCCTCCCTCCAAATCAGACCCCTGATCTTCTTCCTTTTCAGACTGCCCCGCCCTCCCCCCAGGACTCCCAGCCAGCTCTGTATTTTTTTTTTTTTTTACTTTTAAAAAAATATATTTTTATTGATTTCAGAGAGGAAGGGAGAGGAAGAGATAGAAACATCAATGATGAGAGAGAATCATTAATCAGCTGCCTCCTGCATACCCCCTACCAGGGATCGAGCCTGCAACCCAGGCATGTGCACCACCAGGAATCAAACGAACTATGACCTCCTGGTTCATAAGTTGACGCTCTACCACTGAGCCACGCTGGCCGGGCCCAGCTCTGTCTTTATTGCCCCCTGAGGTCCCATTCATCTCTTCATCCCATCTTCATGAGACCCCCCAGTTGATCCCTGCCTAGGAGCTGACTGAGTCCAGAGCCCACAGATGCCCTCCCTGAGTGAGCTCTCACTTCCCCGTGGAGCTGAACTCCACCTGGGATCCAGAAACCCTGGTGGGCCATCTGTATCATCTAGCTGTTGCTGGCGGTCCAGGCTGGGGCCTCTTCCAGCTCCTGAGATGTGAGGGTTTGGCTGCTGGAACTACCTGTGGAGGCAAAATCCAGGGGCAATATGGAGATTCGACTTTTGGCGAGTCAACAATTTTGTTCCAGACACCTACTATGTACCCAGCTCTATTGTCTGTGATGGGGATTTAGGGGAAAACATGATCTTTTGGGTCGTTGTGAGTGAAATCTATTATGGGAATTTAAGAGAGTGATGAGGATAAGGTAGACACACTGGAAAGGATGGGCTTTTGGGTGGGGTGGTACTTGAGTCTCACAGTATAAGAGCCAATCATACAAAAAGCTGGAGGAAATGCATTTCAGAAAGGTGGAATAACCATTGCAAAGGGCCTGAAGTCAAAACAAACTGGGTATGTGTAAGTAGCGGCAGGGAGCAAGGGTACTCAAGGAGAGGACTGCAGCTGAAGAGGCGGCAGGAACAGACAGGAAAGGGCCTCAAAAGGAATATATGGATTTTGTTCTGTGTGTGATGGGACATCATAAGAGTCATGGGTAGGAAATTAATATTACCCAGTTTGCAATTTCTGTTTTTCATTGATTTGTGTAATTTGATTGTGTATCTGACCACTTTGTGAACTTGCTTAATAGTTGTAATTGTTGATTCTGTTACTTTTTCTTATCTGCAGATGGTGGCGGTTTGGTCTCAGCCCGTCAATCTTTTTTGTTGTTGTTTTTTCAGAGAGGAAGGGTGAGGGGGAGAGATAGAAACACCAATGATGAGAAAGAATCACTGATTGGCTGCCTCTTGCATGCGCACACTGGATATCGAGCCCGCAACCCGGGCATGTGACCTCCTGATTCATAGGCAGACACTCAACCACTGAGCCACACCAGTCGGGCATCAGCCTTTCAATCTTTAAACTCTAATTTATTTATTTTGTCATAAGGTGTTGGTCAAAACTCCCTACCTTGTTGTCAATAGGCAATTCTTTCTTTGTTCTTGATATTTAAGGGAATAAGTCTATGTTTCTGCATTAAGTATCATGCTTGCTCTTGGCTTTTGGTTTATAATTTTTTATTAACTAAGGAAGTTTTATCTATTCTTAGTTTTCTGAGGTGTTTTCCCCCTAATCACAAGTAGGCATTGAATTTTATCAATTGCCTTTTCTGTATTTACTGAAATAAACATGATTTTAGTCCTTTAATCCATGAATGTGTTTTATTACATTGATTTATTTTCTTTTGTGGAATTATCCTTGCTTTCTGGGAATAAACTGATGGATTAGCTCTTTACTTAGGGGTTATGTATATGTGATCACAAATAAAATTGATATGTAATTTTATTTTCTGGTTCAGGAAACTCTCATCTGGTTTTGGAATTAAGGTCATACTAGTGTCATAAAATGAATCTTGCCCTCTTTTTTTATTTTTCTGTTTTTGGAACAACTTGTGTAAGTATCTATACAAAAAATGAAATTATTATCATTATAATAATTATCTAGATCAAGAAATGCTTTGTGGTATATTGCCTCAGGCAAGGGAAATAAGAGGAAAAAATAAACAAATGGGAGTACATCAAGCTAAAAAAGTTTTGCACAGCAAAAGAAACAATCAACAAAATGAAAAGACAATCCACTGAATGAGAGAACATATTTGCTGATACATCTGATATGGGCTTAATATCCAAAATTTATAAGGAACTTATAAAACTCAACACCAAAAAAACCCCCAAACAATCTAATTAAGAAATGGGCAAAGGATCTAAATAGACACTTCTCCAAAGAGTATATACAGATGGCCAATAGACAAAAGATGTTCAATGTCACTAGTCATCAGAGAAATGAAAATTAAAACCACAATGAGTTATCACTTCACACTTGTTAGAGTGGCAATCAAAATGTTGGTGAGGACGTGGAGAAAAGGAAACCCTGTGCACTTTTGGTGGGAATGCAGACTGGTGCAGCCAGTATGGAAAACAGTATGGAGTTGCCTCAAAAAGTTAAA